CGGTGGCTAGCTTGTTGGCATGGACCTAAACTTGGGGGTGGAGGCAAGAATCATCACAGTGGAAGGGTTTTTTTCTTTTTGTTAATATATGGATATTGATGCAAAGAGAGAGAAAAGAAATTAAACAGCCCAACCATGAAAGTTTTGTTCCAAAATATGAAAGTCATAGTAAGAATGTCTTGATTTTTTATATGAAAATTGAAACAATCCATGCATATTATTTGGGAAGAACATTGTTCAGATCTGAAAGTTTTATATTTGAATCTTTTATCCTTTTTAAATTAAAGATATTTTTTAAACTCACCTTCAACCGCGAAATAGCTAGAAGGATTTTAATCGCTGCAAATTGTTAATCAAGTGTGACCCTCCACTACTATTTCCATCCAAATCAACTGCGATCCACTGTGCCGCGATTGTCAGGGCTGTGAGGAGATGGGATAGCCCTGCACCTATGCAGTGGCTCTAGCATGGGCACAATCGTATCAGTTCGTGACCAATCAACACAGTTTTCTAAGATCTGGGTCCACAGCAGGCTCCCACAAAATCACGTTTTCGAGGCCCCCGATGCTTCTGTTCGCACCCACACCGTCCTTCCTCTCTTGCTGGAAATCGGAGTTAGGCTAGTTCATGACTACTGTCAGGCTCCAACCAGGGGACTTGAGCCACAACTAGGAGAGAACAGCACGGTTAGTTTTTTTAGCCCCCTCTAGTCAAAAAAATCCCAAAGGAATCTAACAATATTAATCAAGTTTACTAATATTATTCCGAACCATAGAACAACATTAGTTATGTTATGGCACCAATAATATATATATATATATAACGATGGAAAAAAACAAATATTTAAAACTATAGTTTTTGATAATTATATCTGCAATGTCGCAGTGATGTGGAGATTTGCTTTCGACGCCATTTGACGCCAGCCTCGTCATGTCTTGATAAAGGTGGGAAGGTTATTTTGCTATTACAGCGACCACCAACTAAGGTCACATGGGACACGCATGTACTGCCATGTAATGTTCGGCCCAAGATGCCATGCTTGGGGATTGTCATGTGGCAGCGCCGCCACCAAGTTGTGACTTTTAAGTGTCGATGAGAGTGACCATATTTTAAACTGACCTCCTCCTTTAGGTGCAAGCTCGTGCCACGCCTTCTGCCATGTGTCGAGCCTCAAGTATACAGATGGACACTGTTTTGGCAAACAAGGTTGCCTGTCCAGGCTAAACCAAGTGCATGTGACTCTATGCTATACGGTGTTTCTTTTTTGTTTGGTTTTTAAAAATATATTATTTTTATTATTGAAATCAACACATTAAAAAATTATTAATGTAATATTTTTCTTAATTAAATATATTTCTAAAACAAACTTGAACAATGTAGGGATATAATGTGGAACAACACCAGCAAGCAAGGGAGATACTGCAGCACTCAGAATAAATAAATAAACAAACAAGAAGAAAATTAAACTTTTTAAAGAGAAAATAATTGAATGATCCAGTAGTCCCAGAGCATGATTATTATTGGTACAGGGCTGGGGGTTCAGAAGGAGATGCAATAATCTATATCAATTATTATTTAAAAATAAATAAATTAAAATAATATTATTTTAAATAATTAATTAATTTTTTAACATGATCACAAGTTGACCTACAGAATAAAATCGAGTCAATTATAAGTAAGTTAGGAATGGATCAACCATTTTTAATTTGAGCTACCATATCATTTCTTATTTAATAATAACATACAATGTACTTCCAGAACCGTCATGATGTACTTAGGAAAATCATAATCATTAATTCTTTAAACCATGCTCTACGATCGTTGTATGGAGCTGCTGGAGATGTCGTTTTTTATTTTTTATTTTTACTCTTGGTCTAAAAAATAAAATAATTATACCCTTTTCCATTTATTTTTGATCATATATTGTCTCATACTCTCATCAGTGGGGAGCCAAGTTAGAGCATGGCCCTGTGCTGTACGTGAGTGAAATATTTCATTGCCGTCGACTTGTCGTAGGAGCACAAAAGCTCATCTGAAGCATGAGATTACCAAATCAATTATAATGAAGCCTATGGTCGCTCGGTCAAAACACATAAAGACATGGGCCTTTTCCCGACCACAACGTTTTTAAAGCTCCTTCCTCTTTTGTTAAACAAGTAATTGTTGGATTATGGTAGGGTCAAATAATTAGTGTCGGGCAACCAGAAATTATTTCACTGGCACCTGAGAACCAAGAGCAATGTGCTGCCTCCAGGTGTATAAAACGAAGTAGCGTGTTTTCTTCATGGCAATGTGTTTTATAAGTAACTCTATGACCTAGGTTAAAATTATTGTATCATTCATGCTGTTGCAGTGTTTGGTTATTGTCTAAAATATATAATTAAAATGCAGCCGACATGATTTCTCCTGTATTTCTACTTTAAAATAGCATAAGTTTATTTTAAAATTGTTAATTTTTTATCAACGGATGTAGAAACAGGGAGGAGTGCTTTTCTGTATTTATCTTTGTGATGGTTATATTTATCTCAGTTAGTGGGGTAGACCATATGGAGATTTCTATAAAGCATATAAAATTATAATTTATTTTTTAGATTTCACTTACTCGAGTCATTAAAAATTTATATAATTGTTAGTTTTAAAATTTATAAAATTAATTAAAGTATAACTCAAACATTCTAATATGTTAATAATAGTAAAAAGAAAAAACCAAAAGTGGAATCAAATGGTGGCAATTGCAGCTCCATGACCTCCCACATCGTAGCCATTGGTCCAATCTATTGTCATTTACAGCGTCTTGTTCTGGTTAGCAACAAGACGAGGAGGTAACAACAAGAAAGCCTAACCCAACACAACCCGCATCAAGACGCGAAAAGGTCGACTGCGAAAGGAGAGGGCCTAGCCTGGATATGAACGAGCCATCAAAGGCATCTCTCTTGACATGCAATATCAAACCCATCTCCCTTCCTAATAGTTTTCTAGATTGTTAGTCCATGGATGTAAAAAATTAAT